ATATTATCAAAAAAATTTTATTTAAATATTTTAAATTTTAAAAAAAGTAGATTATAAGCAAATTTATAGTAATTTTCCAGGCAAATTTGCCTGGAATTGCTCTATAGTTTAAGGGATATGTTTTTTTTTTATGCTTTTTTAATTCTTTTGCAGTATAGATTATACCTATTTTAAATCAATTAATTAATAATATATTTTATAAGTATATCAAGAAAATTAAATAAATGCAAATTTGCTATATAACTCTTTCCAACGATTATTTGAACCAAAATTTTTCATGAAAGAAAAGTCAAGTTTGGATACTGGAAAATAGAAATTACCTATAGTAGGTAAACAACAGAAGTGGTTTTTATAAAGATCAACCTTTTGTGCTTTATAGAGACTCCTTTAATATATTCGATATACAAGCCAAAAGCGTCTTTATACAAGATAACTGGTTGGGAAAGTGTGCTCTTGTATATGAAATTTTGGTGGAAATTATAGTTTTCTTCTGTCGATGAAGCAAACTGTTGCAAAACAACTAGAAAACAATGAAGAACTTGCTATTCTTAAGCCACACTCTTTTATCTAGCCAAGTGACTTCTATCTTTCTTACTTCTGCTTTTCTGCTTACATTCTAAAATTTTTTACAAAAAGTGAAAGATTTGGCTTACTCCCTTCAAAAGATTAGCATTATTTACTTCCCAAATTTGGATAGATTAGCGAAATACAACCACATGTTTGTTTACGGATGAATATAATACTACGTCACAGGACTCAGCCTAGAAACCCTCAGGTAACAGAGCTAGCTGGATTTGTTAAAAAGGTCAGAAAGTAAATTTAATGTTAAGACAAAGCTTTACAGTAAAGATATACAAATGTTGTATTTGTTATATAATTTTTATCAGCCATGCATAGGTTATAATAGTGCCTTTAGGGTTTTAGATTTCTTTTTATGTTTTTTTTTTTTCACAATTAGTATTTCTTTTTTCTTTTTTGTTTTTTTTTTTCTGGTTGTTTTTTGTTTTTTTTCTTTTAAAATTTTTTTCCTTTTTTGTCTTGTATCCTTTGAGAAGAAGAAAGAATTAGAAGAAAAAAAAAAGATCCTGATGTGGTATATAATAGCCTGTTAATGATCGAGGGAGTATCGTTTCGATAATCAAAATCTGAAGTAAGTTTTAGATCCCAAGTGAGACTAATAGTTGTTATAGCAGGTCGTATTGGGTTTAACCTGATGAGAGTTAGAGCTACAAGTTGTCAGAATTTAGTACATCCATATATATGAATTATATAACAGCTCATATAAATAAAGGCAGGAAGGATCATAAGGTGTAGCAGCTTAGTAAAGTGATTTAGTTATCACCCTCTCCAAGTGGCAGGTCTAGAGTTTGAATCCCACGAACGATGATTTTGAAAAATAAGCTTGTGGTACGGTAACCTGTATAAGATGATTGGATCTTGAATTGAGGATTTGTAATTCGAGTTGTACTAGGGAGTAATTCTGGGAGATCTGCTAGCATTTGTACAATTGGGGAAACCCAGAAACTACAAAGAAATGCAAACCGGTTTAGGCCAGTGCAAATACTTAATAAGTCCAAGATTATATAAATTTTGGGGATTGTTTTTTACTATACAAGAAGCCCATTTGGGAAGTCCTGAGTTGGAAGTAGCAGTGATCTTTGATGATACTACATGATAGCTAAATTTGAACCAGGGCCAAGATTGGTGAACCAAGCAACCAGGTCCTTTAGTGGGGGGATATACTAGCCAAATTGCCAAATACTAGATACATCAGAAGAAAAAGGTATATGCTTCAAAAGTATGGACCAAGGGAGAACATTCTTCAGACACCTAAAGCCTGGGCAGACTGACCCTTCCAGGTTGCTAGCTGGAAGTAAGAGAGGGGGACCAATTAAGAATCTGGGTAAGAAGATGATTAGATTGGAGTACTGAGGTTGTTGTAAACCTTGCAAGAGCAGGAGTACATAATGGATAACTAATTAGGAAGGTTGTGTTTGAGATATGGATTGGGTTATAGCAGCACCCCAAAAGTTGGCTTGAGATACGAACTCATTGGTGACAACACAACATGTACTAGTTAGAAAGAAGTTACCGAACATGTAGTTGAATACATATATGGAATATGTACTGCATTGTTAAATTTACTACAAGAATAAATGCTTTCTGTTGTTGGCTAAAGTCTTAATATCTTAAATGGTAAATTGTCTTATAAAAAGGGACATATTAGAAAAAAATATATAGTATCAGTAAAAGCCAGAAAGTTTAATTAGATAGCTTTCTAGTTAGGCTATAGATATGATATCTAGTGTAAAACCCCTAGCATAGCACTAACGCTTTAAACAGACTACTTAATTAGGCAACCAAAAGTTGTACGTGTAACTAGTTGTACTTTTGTGATACTGATATAACATGTAATCTATATTGTCAGACATTAACTACTTGCTTGAACTAATAAAATGTCAGGGACTATAAGTGGTCACCTTAATATCTAAAAAAAAAAATAAAAAAAAATAAAGGCAAGATCACTTAAACATAAAAAAAAAATAAATACAAATTTGCAAAAATCTGTATTTTTGCAGATTTTTAAAAAAGAAAATTACTAAATATACATGGGGTGTTTGAAACACAGGTATAATTTATAATTAATTTTTATAAATAAATATTAAATATTTTAATTAATATTAAGGTTAGAATTGGAGGTTATAGTTAGTTGTTTATAGTAAAATTTTACAAGAAATTTTTTTTCTTAGACCTCAAAAGATGGTTTTATAAGCTAAATTTTTAAATATCATTAATTTTTTATTTTTTCTTTATTTTTGTTGTACAAAAAATGATCTACATACTGCATTTAATTTTATATTTTAATTGGTTTTTCTATTTAGTTTGTATAACTATATGTTTAAACACCCCATGTACAAATAGTAATTGTCTTTAAAGAATTGTAAAAAATCTGCAAAATTTTTTAGTATTTGAAGTTTTGCACAAAATTGTATTTAATTTTTGTATTTATAGTATTAAATTTGAAGTTTTGTATAGATTTTTATTTGATTTATTATTTAATTTTTTTGCAAATCTGTGCAAAACTGCAATAAAAAAAATTTTCTAATATAATTATTATCTATTGCAAGAGATTTGTTTTTTTTTAGATTTTTTTAGAGCTGTTAAAAAACTTATTAAAGTTGGTTCTTGAGTTAACTTAGTAAAAACTATTTGAAGTCAACTTAAGTTTACTTTTGAACAAAGTTTTTACTCCTTGTATATTTTATACACCTCTTATATAATTATGCATAAATATACAAGATATGCATAAAAATATGCAAGGGTGTATAAAATATGCAAAGAGTGCATAAAAATATGCAATAGTTGTATAAAATATACAAAAATATACAAAGAGTATATAAAAATATATAAGAAGTTTGCATTGTATAATATATATATAAGCTAAATTTAAAACTAACTTGAACTTAACTTTTAAGTTGAGTTGAGCTAAGTAGAACTTTTAACACTTCTAGATTTTTCTAAGTATTGAATATAAAAATTTTTTACATAAATATTCTCATATTTACATAGGTGTAAAACACCATAGGTGCGTTTTTGTAAGATTGTTAATTATAAAACTTATTATTGTTATCGCTATTAATTAAGATCTAATGACATCTAATCTTGCATGTGACTTTTCGGACTTGGTCCAGAGACCTGTAAAATTTATTTGCATTATGTGGATCTTTATTTGCATTATTGTAAAAATTTGCATTAATTTGGAATAAGAAATTAACTATATATTAATTTGCGATTTTTTATCGGCAAACATCGGAAATTTACTCAAAATTTTTTTTACCCTTGCTTGTCTTTTATGTTTATTCATTTTTACTTTCAGAAATTTCCGAAATATTAGTTCTGCATACCTAGCATTATTAGCCAATCAAATTTATAGAATATCACGTGAATTTAACCTTTAGAAATTTGTTTTAACTTGCATACAAATTTTTACGGGTCCCTGACTTGGTCCCAAGTTTGACTCGGGACCGAGTTAAATTAAAACTCGACTTCATAGCCTGGTGGATACTGGGGTAGTTGAACATATTTGGAGATATACACATGTTGGTCTCGTGATGATTCGAGACTAAAGCTGCTTCGATACTTACGTATCGAGCAGCTTTTTGTTTTGTCTCATTTTTGGTGATTTACTACGGAAATACATTTGGGTCTAATCGAGCATCAACATCATATCGGCGAATTTGGGAAATTACTATGAAAATTCTCAAATATTTGACAAAGAATAACTTGTGACCTACTGGTCTATTTTAGATGTTTTTACTACCAAAATGTTCGTCTCATCGAGACGAACATTTTGGTAGTAAATAGACCAGTAGGTCACAAGTTATTCTTTGTCAAATATTTGAGGATTTTCATAGTAATTTCCCAAATCCGCCGATATGTATCAATTTTTTTAAATAGTATCCATAGATTATAATTGAGTTTTAATGATATCTTCATGAGATGATAATTTTGTTATAGTGTATGCAGAAAGAGAAAAAATATCTGATATGAAAAATTAGGTAATGTAACTAGGCGCTTGAATTGTTTAAAAAGAGTTAGAAATGTATTATATTATACTGGCATGTTATGAATAATTCTAGTCTAGTTCTTGTGCAATTCATCAAATATTTTAAGATAGAATTTTATAAGAATTGGTTTTTATTTTATCATTTATCCACCCGGGTGACCCGCGGGTTACTCGGGTCATGATTTTTCAGACGGGTCCAACCACTACTCCAATTCTTCAGGAGGAATGTCCCTATCATCAATAGAATAAATGTTTGCAGCCTAGAACAGTTATAACGCCACACATTAGTCAAATATAAATTGGTGAGTGAATAAACAATGGAGAGCGTAGAATAACATTACCGGTTGCCAAACTTGAATTATATTATCTTCGGCAGTACTAGCAATCACCCAGGGTATATGAGGATTCCAACTGAAATCGGATATTTTATTAGTGTGTCCGCCATGCATAAACTGTAATGAAAAACAAATTAATTTTAAAGTTCACATAATTAAAATTTGTTGAATTAAAAGAAGAAAATGCAAACCAATAATTCTGGAGGTCCCTCGTCAGCATCTTCTGCTGTTTGCTCTGCGCCAATTCGACTTAAATCCCATATATTTACTCTTCTATCACCTCCCGCAGATGCTAGGATAGTTTCGTCGTATGGTGACCACTCAACCTGTAAGACTTCCCCTTGATGATGCACTAATGTGTGTAGTTTAATTTTTAGATTACGAAGGTCCCACAAATTGAGAGTCTAAAATAAATCATAAAGTATTATGTTAAATAATCTTTATAAATTTCGCAAGTTATTTTAAAGAGCGGATAAGCTCATACCTTATCTCCTGCACCCGTCACTAAAATATTTTCATTCTTTGGATTCCATGCCAAAGTATTAACCTCACTTGGATGTGCAATAACTGAATGGGCAGGCTTATCGGCCTTATCTGAACGTGTATCCCAACTAATGATTTAAATATTAAAAATGTGAATAGCCATACTCGCTCAAGCAAATATAATTAATACAATAATTACATGAGTAACTTTTGATCGTCACCAACTGAAGCAAATAGGTGTTCATCTAGTGCATGCCATGCCACATCCTATCATATAATAAATAAAAATATTAACCGAGCTGCTAAATAAATTTATGAAAATAAAAATTATTGCATTAAGGAAGCCACCTCAACAAATGCTTCATGGCCTCGATAAATGCGAAATGGTTCCATCGTTTGTGAATCTTTAGTAGCTCCAGTAATGTCCCTACAAGAACACATTAAATCAAGGTCATATAACTCATTTGTTTGCAAAACTTCCAATTTCTTCAATAAAATTCACAAACCAATGGCAAATTGTGGTATCTTCAGATGCATCTAATATATGACCTTCTTTTAATGGGCTCCACGATAATCCGTATCTATTTAATTATGAATTTTAAATTTATAATTTGATTTTATTTAGAGGTAAAAAGACTTATTTACCCTTCTTTTATATGACCCCGTAATTTTAGCTCAGGTTGACAGGTACCATCAGATACAGGTTTTGATGGATGCTTTGTACGGTCGAATATATAAACATCACCAGAAACTGTCTTTGTAGCGATTATATCCTGTTTTTGAGGCATATATCGCGCTCGATTGACTTCACCATCGTGCTTAATTTTTTGAACGACCCTAATTCTGCTCTCAGTAGTACCACCATAACCTCCTATTTCTATTCAAAATATGAAACAATTGTACCTGTCAATTAAGTTGCTAGCACCAAGATATTATTAAATTATTGCTTTTGTACCTCCTTTCTCTTCATCATATTTTCGAGGATCAACATTGACATCATTTTTTGGAAGTTGAATCTGTGCAATTTCAACGTAATTTTGATCGTTGTCTGACGTGTGCGTACCAATTAGTAGACGCTGAAGAGTGTAGTCTTTTCCTTCGGGCCTAAAGAGTTATCAAAACAATTACACATCAATAAGAAAAGAATACTCTTCTTTTTTTTCAACTTAATAACTCATCGATTTAATTAACAGAAGTTAAATCTCTGATAGAAATATTGAAATAGTATACCTATCGATATCTTGAAACCACTGACACGTTAAAGTTGGCCATACAAGGGCATGAGTAATGACTAAATCATAAAGAAAGGGAGAATTCTTCTTCCAGATTTTATACTCTTCATTTATAATTTTCTCCTCAATAGCTGCACGTTCCTGCTTTGTCTCCTCTTTTAGACGGAAGATTTAAAGCGTGTTTAGCCAGTAATTAAAGTTTATAAAATAGTCTTTAAAAGGGAAAGGAAGGAATATAATAGAGTACCTGTAGAGTCTTCGTTGTATGGAGATGAAGGTGAATCGCTATACGAAGTGGCCATTGAAAAAAAAAAGAAAAGAAAATCTATAATTAAAGACGCGAAACGTCGAAGAATGCTCAGTCACGACATCTAAAAGTTTCATATTATAGTGTCAGTCACACAAATGAAGTGGGCACGTGACATTCTTACTAGAATCCCGAATAAGATTCGGTCAGAATTATGTAATTTTACTTAAAATGGGCTTGAGAGTTTAGAAGTCTTTTTTTTTTATCTCCAATAATGCAAAAATTTAAAAGTTTCTCTGAGCAGAAATCATTCGTGGTCCATAGATTTGACACTATCAATTGTAAGTTGGTATGTTTTCTTTAATGTGCAATTAATGTTTTCGTTGGTATCTCAAGTATTCCGAGATTTGCCGTGTAAACCAATTGGTGTATGAAGATATGCAAGATTGTCACACAAATGAATCATCCAACACGACAAAACTATTTCGCTAGAAACTTACATTTGTAAAGAGATTCATAGGTGTTTGTCCCACTCGCTGAGCAATTGACTCATATATTTAATACAAAAGGTAAATAAGGAAGTGAGAAGTTTTATTTTGAGCTTGAGATCGGGGTTTAAAGGGTGGTGTGAACATGCTATCAAAGCTCGTTTGTGGTGAAACTCTAAGGGGACTGATCTTGTTAGCTTTTAGTTTCGTTATGTTGACAAGAGATATTTCCATGCATAGATATTTGAAATTTTTATTTTACAACCTTGAGACACTATAAAGAGCTTTGAGTAGGGGAATTATTAATATTAAGCGTGTGGGTGTCAAATACTTTGAGTTCACTTATTACCAAATTTACGTTTCAAATTTAATTAGAAACAAATTAAGCGCTGTGAAATTTATTAATGTAAAAATCACAAATTGTACATTCTTGTTATTAATAAAATAGAGGACATCGCTAACTTCATTTACAATTTCATAATAATTATTATTATTATTATTTTCTTTTTTACAAATTCTTTATGCGATCTTCATAGAAATCCGATTAATCCGATTTTTACCCGCACATACTTATTTTTATTTTTTACATTTTTTTTTTTTTTTCTGAAATCTTTATTATAAAAGCCCACAATCTTATTCGCTGCTCAAACTCCACCCCCACCAATTTCACCAATTTAATAGAGATAAGGTATGATAATTGATTACTAATCTTGATTAGTACCATGAGTTTAGACAGTTTTCATGCAATATTACTAACCATATTTTTATCCTTTCATTTATTTCTGTGGGTTGATTATCATTTTATTATGCATTTGTTTTTTTTAATACGTATAGCTAAGAAATAATAGAAATGAGCAACAAACACCCGTATAATACTCGGATGACATCTCAATCCAATTCTAAGATGATGAATAATGTGCCAGTTTCAACACATGAAATGATATCAGTAGCGAGGAAAGAGGATATTCCTTCTAATAAACACCCTTTTGCTCAGATTCCTTCTCGCTCACAAGGAATGTCATCAGAGCCACTACGCATGAGCTCAAAGATTAAAACTAATTCCCGTTCTAAAGGAAAACAATCTACAAATCAGTCAAATTCTGTACAGCCTATTGATTTTTCTACTATAAGAACAACATATCCTCATCAAGATGAAGTTAAGTCTAAGCGGTTGTATAACCTTCCTGAGGGCAAGACATTTTACCCCACATGGACTGAATTTCAAGATCCATATGAATATATTGCTAGTATAACTAAAGAAGGGTCGCGCTATGGTATTATAAAGATCATTCCTCCAGAAGGATGGAATCCTAATTTTTCATTGGAGACCACTGTAAAGTCATCACATTTAATGTATTTTTTTATTTTATCAAAACTGAAAATTCCCATTATTAAATTATACTCTTTTGTGTGAATATAGCGATTCCGGTTTAAAACAAGAAAACAGAAAGTTAACACTATGGAGGGAGAAACTAGAGCCAAATTAAATTACATCGAACAATTGCAGTTGTTCCACGCACAACAGGGACGTCCTTTTTCAAGATTACCCCAGTTAGATAAAGCACCTATAGATTTACACAAGCTTGCGAGAGCCGTAGCAGATCGTGGTGGTCCTCATGAGGTCTATTTTTAATTTAATTGAGTGTTAACCATAAATTTCCAAAACTTATTTCTTGGAATGTCTTTAATTATTTTTCTATTAGGTATCTAAAAATAAACAATGGGCTGAAGTTGCCCGTGAGATTAAAGAAGGCGGATACTCGCAAACTTGTACTTCAGCATCTAAAACTATTAAAGAGCGCTATTTTGACTTTATTGATCCATACGAAAAATATATATCTGAAGCGAAGCGGGAGTGTAAGCTAGGCAAGCTTGACATTAAAGTTGACCTTGCGAAACCTGAAGATGTATGCGGAAAATGTGGGAAATTGACAGAGGGCAATGAAGATGTATTGCATTGTGATGGAGAATGCGAAAAACCATATCATATAGATTGCCTTAATGTTAAAAAAGAGAACCTTAACCCTGATGCACAATGGCATTGCCCAATGTGTCTTTTTTTAACTGGTACTGATTACGGTTTCGAGCCTGGTGAAGGATTTACTTTGAGGGATTTGCAACAGACCGCTGATTCATTTCGCCAACGTCATCTTAAAAATCATCCTGTACCTCCTGAAGTATCAATGGAGGATCACATTGAATCTGAATTCTGGCGGCTTGCGCATTCGATGGATGATAATACAGAAGTTTTCTATGGTGCCGATATCAATTCAACGGATTATGGCAGGTAAAATAATAACGTTTTCTTTATTTATTCTATTTATTTTATTTCATTTTGGTTTATTTTATTTTATTATTTTTTTTTCTTTATTCGCTACTAATTTTTTTTGGTTTTATAGTGGTTTTCCTTGCAGTGAACGTGATCGAGATGATCCATACAATAGAGATCCTTGGAATCTTCGGAATCTTCCTAGATTAACTGGTTCATTACTTCATGACATCACTCCAGCTATTCCTGGGATGATGTTGCCTTGGGTATATGTAGGAATGATTTTTTCTGCATTTTGCTGGCATGTTGAAGATCATTATACCTATAGTATAAATTATATGCATTGGGGTGAGACAAAGACTTGGTATGGAATTTCGGCCTCATATGCCTCAAAATTTGAAGCAGCCGCGAAAAAGCTCTTGCCAGAACTATTTCAACACCAGCCAGACCTATTGACACAATTGACCACAATTCTAAATCCAGAAAAGTTGGTTCAGGAAGGAGTTGAAGTTTTTGCTATTGATCAACGACCAAACCAGTTTGTAATAACATTCCCTCAAGCGTATCACGCGGGCTTTAATCATGGGGCAAGTTTAAATCTTTTTATAATGGAAAGTTGTTGTTTTTTTTAATAAACATTAATTATGGACTATATTGTTAATATAATTCCAGTTAAATTGTAATGAGGCCGTCAACTTTGCATTACCAGATTGGATTAAATTTGGATGTGAGTCAATAAAATTTTACAAAGAAATAAAACGACACCAAGTATTTTCACATGAACGCCTATTATTAGCGATTGGACTTAAAAATTTAAATAATTATAAGGTTGTTAAATGGTTAGTAAATTTTACATTCAGGATAAATCATCAAACCTTTATATTGATAATTCAAGTACCCTTACATGGTTTGGTTATTCAATTGTAAGAAAAATTGTCTTTTTCTATCAAAGGCTTAAAGATCCGTTAAGTGAAATGTGCACAAAAGAACTGAAACTTCGGACTGAAGTAATTCAAAATTTGACCCTACCCGCTCCAATACACGACATTACCGAACCAAAAGACTCCGAAATGGTGTGTTCTTATTGTAATGGGTTTAGTTATTTTTCAGCATTGAAATTTAAATGCACAGATCAAATTCTATGCATTGAACACGCGGATTATGCACCAGGAATGTGCAATTGCGGTGAAGAAAACGAAAAGAAATATTGCTACCTCATGCAAGTACGTATAAGAGATTTTCACTTGAAAAGTCTAATGGACACTATGGAATATACGGTCCAACAAGCGCAACAGGATATAGAATATTTTTCCACGTACCTTGAAGAATCAACAACATTATCAGTCAAAGTATTGGAAGACATATACATAAGAGTTAAAGAATGTGGATATGACTTTGAATTAAGTGAATTGGGTCATTTTATTGAGCAATCAGAAATCTGGTTTCGACGGTTAATTGAAATGTGTTTTGAAGTTGCACAAAATATTTGGCCTTCTACTTATCGTAATACGCTTATTAATAATTTTGATGTTGGAGACTTTATTTGCAAATGGGAAAAGAGAACAAGGAGTTGCCTCTCTACAACCGACATACCTCCCCTCAATCAAAAACATTATTGTTTTTGCCGACGACCAGATAACTTTAAGACTATGATAGAATGTGATAAATGCCACGAATGGTATCACTGTGAGTGCATTGGCATGAGCGATGACGAAGCAAACTCTCTTGACACATGGACATGCTCTATGTGTCATTATGATAAAAATCAACTTTCAAAAAAGATACGAAAAGCTATGAATAAATTTGAAAAACTTTTAAAAGCCACTACAGTATTTCCGTTTTCACCGAGACATTCAGAACAATTCGTCAAGATAATTCAAATCATCAAATCACTTTTAGGACCCGACCTGTTTCACACCCGACGCGCGATTGGTCTTGGCTTGGCCATTCCTATAGATGGAATAGAAACAAAGGAGGGCATTGATACGGATGTAATTATGACAGATAATTATTAAAAAATAGAATTTGAAAATTGGTAAGGAATGATGCTATCATCATTGGTCATTCTTATATGGGTATCACTTAATAATTAGTAGTGTGTACAATATATATTCTTTTTGGATTCCATTATCATTTATGTAATAAAGAAATATTGCCGAACTCATTTAGAAATATTTTTCGATGAGATTAATTTCCAAATTTTTTTTTTTTGTATTCAAAAAGGCGTAAAGTTATAACGAGTATGTAATAAAATTGAGATGACAAAGTGGTGGCAGAAAAAATTCGCGATCAGGTGATCGCCGATGTTTCCGAACCCCTTCGATGCAGCCCGAAACTTTATACAAAATTTATGCATTTTTTCAACAACCGAATATCAGATATTATGTAGTACATGTATCTAATATTCGGTTGTATAAAGTTTTCGGGCTGGGTTCGGAAGCATCGGCTATCACCTGATCGCGAATTTTTTCTGCCACTACTTTGTCGTCTTAAAATTGTATATTATACTATAACTTTAATAAAAATAAACTATATTTTCTAGCCTTATTTTTGTGTGAATTAAGTTGTGACAAAAAAGTTAATTTTCAAATTAACGTTAATAAATATATTTGTTATAATTCGGTTCTAGCTTTGACTAATATTTTTGTATTAAAATAGTATAATATTTTATAATACGTATTAATTACAATTTATTAAATTTGAAACATACAGTATATACTTAGACTATATACTTGGACTATATACTTAAACTACTTGGATGCCAAGTTTTTAACTATTATACTGTATATAAACTTTTTAAATTAGATTTTTTGTAAATACAGTCAAACCTCTCTATAATCACACACTTGGGATACAAAAATGTGTGATTGTAAAGAAGTGTGACTATTATAGAAGTAAAATTTATTATAAATAGATTGTTTTTAAAAAAATGTGCTTATAAAGAAAATGTGCTTATATAGGAGGTGACTATAGAGAGGTTTGATTGTAGTCACAATTTTTGATAATTATAACTTTAAAATCTAATACGTATAAATACATTACGTTACGTATACGTACGTATAATATCAGATATATACGTATAACTATATATAGTTGATTTTATGCGCACCTAATTAATATAATTCAGTATACGTACTGCATATACAGTACAGTATATATGGTGACAAATTATATATACTTCATTCGTCCCAAATCCCCAGTTTTATTATATTTGGGATTGGGATTTGGATTTGGCAATTTTACGTACTATGTTTGGGATTGGGGTGGGAGTTTGAAAGTTTGAGCGACATGTATAACGATAATAATATTATTAGGCTTGGAAGTTTTGGGATTGGTGTGGGAGGTTGAGAGTTTGGGCGACATGTATAACGATAAAATATTATGATATTAGGCTTAGAATTTTACTACGTACGTATAAACATTATTTTCGGCAAAAAATAATACGTAATTTACAAGAATTATTATTTACAGTATATATTAATTATTATTTAAATGTATTATTACAGTATTTGAAAAGATTTTAAAAATTTTTAAACAAAAACTTTAAATTTTATATCTTTTAATAAATGGTTTAAAATACAGTAAGTATTTTACACAAAAAATTCAATATGACCATATTATTAATTTTTTTGCTTTATTTAAAAAAAGTTTAAAATTTTGCCTGGAATAACAAACAATTTAAGAGAAAAAAATTTTACTATTATGTAATATTAATATTTCTCTGGTTTGGCTCTTGACGGGGCTGACAAAGTCTTCTATCGCATCCGTGAGGTTGCACATCAAGGTGCTCCCGAAGTAACCAGATGACGGACCTGCTGTATAGTAGATAGAATATATTCTGTTATCTTTAAATAAAGGTACCGACAAGACTGTCAGAGTAAAAAAAAAAAACGATTAACCAACCAAAAAACTAGATATTTTATCTAAAACTACAAATTCATGATATTATATATACTGTATATTTTTAAGAAAGCCCTGGATGACTTGCACCATATTCGTTTAAATCCAAGTATATAAATTTTACACGCACGGATCTCATGTAAACTCGAATAATTAATTCAGCTAAATAGATACACGATTAGTTTTTATTAAATTAATTATATACCGTACTTTCAGTGATTTTATCTATATTACAAATGTTTATATTGCTATCCCTCGTTAGTATTATTAGTATTATTCGTTTCGTCTATAACATTATTATCATTTGTTTCGTCTATGACCGTATTATCATTTGTTTCGTCTATAACAGTATTATCATTTGTTTCGTCTGGGACAGTATTATCATTTTTTTCGTCTGGGACCGTATTATCATTTGTTTCGTCTAGAGCAGTATTATCGTTTGTTTCGTCTAGAACAGTATTATCGTTTAAGTTAGGGGGAGTAATACTTGAAGTCGGTAAAAAGTCTTTAAGAGCATCCAAAATTTCGGATTTAACGATAATTTCAGGATGATCTACACCATCACCGCTTATCAGTCCTCCATAAACACCTTCAACAAAACATCTTGAAATAAAAGGTACAAAACTTTGAGCAAACATCGAATTAAATCCTTGTAGAACAGTAATGTCATGATTATGCTTAATAAGGATATCACCATATTCGCGTAACAAATCAGTGATAAGCATAAGACTTTGCGATATATGGTTCCCAAGTGGATGAAACAAAGATATTGGAGCTACTAGACGTAAGGAATTAAAAGCCGTTAAGTAAGCATTTGTCAAATGAGCAATTGGTGGATAATCTAATAGAGTGACTAAAGGAGTAAAAGAAGAAGCTGTAGATGTTGAAGAAGATGATGGTCGTAGATCCAATAAGTTTGTTGATTTCTTATCACCAATCATCCATGTATTAGGTAGGTCAACATTTTTAGTAGCCTGTTTCAAGTCGTCACAAAATTCTTGTGTTCCATCAGTAATCACCTTTTTGACTATCCGCTCAACAGCTGTTTCAAAATAACCAGTAACAAGATGTCGAAAATCAACGCCAACTCTCCCAAGAGACATTCCACAGTACATAAGTTGTGTTAATATAGATGAAAGCGATGAAGTGTCAGAAATTAAAGGAGTAAATTCCGCAAGAACTGAAGTTAATTGTCCAAGAATATGGATGGTATAATCAGAAATGGCAGTTGCAGCAGTCATCGTACGCCTACCCAAAGAATTAGTACTAATGTCCGACAGCGGAGAAGACACCCAAGGTGATGATGGTGTGGGGGGCATCATGAGTGAAGAATATATAGGAGTTGATGCTAAACCACCACCTTCATCAGAAAATATAGCACGATATTGTGTAATAATATCAAAAAAATTTTCTCTAAATATGTCTATATACTTTTTCAAGTAGTAAACAGGATCTTTTTTTTCTTTATCAATTGTACGGATTAATGATCGTAAATAAGCATCTCTAGAAAGCAAAAATACTAGTCTTAACTCAGCCTCATCAAATGCCTCCATACGTCTCAGATAACCAATTACTTTTAGACAATTTGGTAGTTTAATTGGTTGACTCAAAAGAGTTATTAACTTTGATAACATGAGTTGCATCGTCTGTTTCACATCTCGTTCAATACTTTGAATTAATGGAATTGTAGAATATCTTGAGACTAGTCTTGTAACGTGAGCAGATAAATCCATTGCTTCAGAATAAAGACCATTCCGAACACATGTATCCATTAATTGTGGAATCTCTAAAACTTCCAGTAAATTATCATGACACTCTAAAATTGTATTGATCTTACCACGCTGTTGAATAATTTGATTTGTTTGCTGTAAAAAAGATGTACATGAATTTTCTAATAATGGAATTGTGGATGTTAATGTTGATAAATGCAAATTTAGGCTATCGAGAGAGGAATTAATTTCAACTGAGCACGTATTAGCGTGAATGCAGGACTTGTATTCCCGAAAAGAAAGTTCTGCTAACTCTTTTTGTATTTTCAATTGTTCATCTTCGACTAGTAACGGTTCATGTTTAAGTGACTCTAGAGATAATGAAGTAAGTCGATTTAGGTAATCTTTACACCAGTCATTATTCACTAAATCTCGTTGAGATGGTAAGGAGTCTGATAAAAAGGATAACAGAATTTCCTGCCCACTCGTATCAGGGACTGATTGCGTATAAAGATCATGTTCTGCTAAGGTCGCTGTAGTCACAACACCTGTTTCAAGTGTGTTTTCAGAGTTTTGTGTTAGTTGAGGTTCGTCCATGTTCGTTAATGCGTTTTCGAAAGACGAATAGAATATCAGATATTGGCGACACAGATCATCCAATCAAATTTTAAGATCAAATGTAACGGTTCATGGTCAGACATTCGTTTGATTGGCTGATGTACTTAAACAGGAGGGAACGTTGTTGCTACACAACTGATAAAAAAATGATTTTACAATACTCGATCGGACTTGATCAGTCAACTAGTACATGTTACGATTATAATCCAACCTCA